GGGGGGCCTTGTTCCTCTCCAGCCTTGGTGCTCTCCGTGATGCTGGGGGACAAGGGCCGGTGACAGGTCGTGACTCCCTTGGGGTGGCCGTCCCTGGGGAGGGAGGTGACAGTCTACCCCGGCCTTCTAGGGGGACCCCTGGATGTGTCATACAACTCGGGAAAAGATCAGGATCTCCTGGGGATGCCCCCCTTGGAGCAGGGGATCAAGGGATCCATCATAGTTGCAGGGAGGACTGACAAAGTGAGAGGTGCTTTCCCTTGTCTTTGTGTCCGATCTCAACTAACAACATAGCAAGAGGCTGAAAGTTTCCTTTGTAGTTAGAGGTAATGGTCCAAGATGTGGCTGTAGGGAAGAGAACAGAGGCCTGATGTACAGGCTTGCATTTTGAAGAAAGAGCCGTAGGGTACTTGTAGAGGAGGCTTTATACAGTTCTGGAGCAAGTTGCTGGGTACTTGAGATGTCCTTTGGATAATTCAAGCGTAAGTATTTTTAATCAAGTGTTCTGTGGGGCAGCTTTGCAGAATAGCATCATGAAATTTCAGGAACTGATATGTCTGAGTTCCAGTGAATGTATAGTATAAAGTCAGCTTGTTTTTGCTATCACCTGATATGATTGTTTTTATATAGAAGGCAAAACAATTAAAATGTTTAATGACTCCTATGTAGAACATAATTCTCAGAGTGTTAGAAAGTGACAATAAGTCACTGCCCTGTAATGGTTGTGCAGTGGTCTTGGTCAAATGTTCACTTGATTAACTTAATTTGCTTGTTTACTGGAAACAAAATAATTATACTTGGTGTATTTTACAGGCTTAGAAAGATTCCTCTCTTCATTTGAGAGTTTCTAGCCTTAGCAGTAGAGATAATTTGTTTTTGTGATGTTAGTGGCTTCCTCCTTTACACTTACAATCTTAGCTGAATTAGGCACTATGTTAAATACCTTACAGGCAACTCTTGCCAGGGAAAGTGCAAGAAATGGCTGAAGGTGCTGGGAAAATTAGCTATTGGACTATAATGAGCTACCATCCTCACTTGTATAATTTAAACTTAGTGCTGAACAAGCACAAGACTTAGTGTCATGTTTTGCTCAGAGCGCCTCACCAGTGGAGTTGTTAGCCACTGCATATTTGATAGCTCTTTCAGGCTGTCTGACAGGCTCTTGTTTTATGCTAATGCTTTTGCAGTTGGAGGAGGTGTTGTTGTGGAAGATCAGCCAGATGTGAGTGCAGTATTGTCTGCCTACAATCAACAAGGGGACCCGACATTGTACGAGGAATACTACAGTGGATTAAAACACTTCATTGAGTGTTCCCTGGACTGTCATAGAGCGGAATTGTCTCAACTGTTTTATCCTCTCTTTGTGCACATGTACTTGGAATTGGTCTACAATCAACATGAGAGTGAAGCAAAGTCTTTTTTTGAAAGGTAATTTATTTTCATTTGTGCATTTGCATTATTTTGCATGTGCTACTTTGATTAAATCTGTAAGCTACAGTCGCATAGGCTTATGAATGTATATATGTATGTATTATTTTTCTTGTGTAATGTTGAAGAGATTTAGAATCTGACGTAATGGTGCCATGGATTACAGTAACTGTTCTTAAAAAATTTTCCAATCTCCTATGTTAGAAGGATTGCAAACTGCATGCTTTTGGACTGCCCATGTACAGATTTTGAACCATCCTTATAGAGAGCTGGTAAGCTCCTTGGTGCAAAGTATATGAAGAGATGCTGCTTCTTTAGGGAAGGATTGTGGGGTCATTTTTTAGCACTGGAAATTTACATGGAGATGCCAAAGTAATGTATGCTATAGATATTTGCTGATGTCATAGCATAATTTTAAATAAGGTGAATGGAATTAATTTATGGTTAATCTACAATTTTTTGTGGTCTTACTATGTTTTACTTCTTTATCACTTGAGAAAATTAAATTTATTTTGTTTTCTGGATTCAGACCAGTTATGAAATATTTCAATCCAAAAGGATAACTTTGCCTCCCTCCAGTATGGTCAGCAAAAATGGTTCTGTAAATAGTTAAAATGTTCCTTGCCACAAGTATTTTATAACATAGTTTGAGTAAAAATGGAAAACTCCAGACATATGTTAGCTGTTATATAATGCAAGTGGAGAATGAGAAAGAGTCACTGTGAAATGTGCATATTCATATAATGAATCAGATATAAATACATGCAAGTAGTCTTGCATAATAAAAAATGCCCTGTACCTTATAATACCACAAATTAGCGTTTCATTTCTGTAAATAAACACGTTAGTGTAACTGTATGCTTCAGGCAAGATCCTTTTGGGTGTATGAAATTCTGTGAGGTTCCATTTGTGTGTTCTTTTCAGTGGTTTTTAACTGAAGAGTACTCTGAATACTCTTGCTATATACAGTAAGTCACTGATGTATCTTCCCCAGGATTAAATTTTATTTCAGCAGAAAAATGATCCCATATGTAGTCAGTAGCTTCCAAAAGGTCCTTGCATATGTTTCATGTTAAAGTAATGTAAATGTGTGTGCACTTAGGAGATAATGTTTTTGTAATAAATCTTTTATCATATCTTACATTATTTCAATAGATTTCATGGGGATCAGGAGTGCTATTACCAGGATGACCTGCGTGTATTGTCTAGTTTAACCAAAAAAGAACATATGAAAGGTAACGAGACCATGCTGGACTTCCGAACAAGCAAGTTTGTGCTGCGTATTTCCCGTGACTCCTACCAACTCTTGAAGAGACATCTTCAGGAAAAGCAGAACAATCAGATCTGGAACATTGTTCAGGAACATCTTTACATTGATATCTTTGATGGAATGCCTCGCAGTAAACAACAGATAGATGCCATGGTTGGAAGCTTGGCTGGGGAGGCAAAACGAGAGGCAAACAAAGCAAAGGTAGGAGACAAAGATTGTTGCACTTTTATAGTTGAATAACTCTCTCTAGTTTTTCAGGGAGATACCTTAGTATAGACTGACAATTGTCACTTGAGATCTTAAAAGACAGCATGAACAGAACAAAGGAAGAGAACTGCTCAAATAGTTGGTGGCAGGAGTGGGGAGATCAAGATGTGTCACTGTCTGGTAGAAGAAACTGTTGAACCCCTTTGAGAGGCAGCTTTCTATTCAGCCCACTGAACTAAAACTAATTCCTGAATTACTCTGTGATTTTTGGCTTCCTATTTGGCTTCCTCTCTTGTGCAGCAGATGTAATTATTACTTACTGCCAGTTGTTATTGCAAGGGCTGTTTGTGTAGATCTTGACAGTGTAGTACAACAGTATTATACAGATAAATCATGTAAGCTGTAGGGATTCTGCTTTAAGGAAATGCTGAGAGATGGCTGGAGAACTTACAGCGTTTGGTAAAACAGCAGAACAGGTGCTACCTTTGTTATGGGCTAACAGTAGTGTATGCGGTAATGTTGAACATAGCAGTTTTAAAAGGGCAGCTCTATTGCTTGGACTATTACATTGAAAAGTTTCCATTAAAAAAATTAGTTTTTTCAGGAAAAACAGCAATTACTGTTTTGTCTCGTGTCGTTTATTGACTTGCAGGTTTTCTTTGGCTTGTTGAAAGAACCAGAGTTTGATGTGCCTTTGGATGATGAAGATGAAGAAGGAGAAAATGAGGAAGGAAAGCCAAAGAAGAAAAAACCTAAAAAAGATAGTGTAGGGTCAAAAAGTAAAAAACAAGACCCTAATGCTCCTCCCCAAAACAGGTATCACGGGAACATTGTGTAGAGAATTCTTGTTAAATCCAGTCTTGTCATGCCAAATCTGCATCGCTGTTCACATGACATTTTTAGCATTTTTGCCATTTCAGCTGAACACAGCTGTAGCTGTAAGACTTCTAAGGGAGCTAATGGAAAGCTTGGCATATAGCCCTCTGTTCTTTGCCCTTCAAGTCAATCTAGTTTTCCCTTGATAACATTTTACTGTTACCCTCTAATCTTTTCAGGTCATACTCAAGTATTTATCTTGTTCTACTGCCTGTATGAAATTCTTAAAGCTACTGTCTCTCTTTCTCATCAGTTAATATTTTACATAGTCTTTAATTTTTTCTGGTTTGTTTTGTATTTGAATATTGAGGTATAGTGTTGCACGTGAAGGTTTCACTTTGTTTAGATTAACAATGTCTAAGTGCTTTTAGTTCATAGAAATGCGTGCTTCTTGCAGAATTCCTCTGCCTGAGCTGAAAGACTCCGACAAGCTGGATAAAGTAATGAATATGAAGGAAGCTGCAAAGCGTGTGCGTCTTGGCCCAGAGTGCCTGCCCTCCATCTGTTTCTACACGTTCCTTAATGCTTACCAGGTTGGTAAAAGAAGAGTTTGGGTAATATGGAAAAGGGAATCAAAATTGTAAAACATCACTCTTAATAAAGAAAGAAGACTTAACAGAGCTGGCAAGGGTTATTGGAGTATGTGGAATAAGTGTTGCAAAGTTTATGTTCCAAAATCTTCAAAATTCTCTTTAAAGACTTATTAAACTGTTTAATGTCCATGTTCCTTGGGTTTGCTCTAATTCCTTCTTTCGCTTTTCCTGTCTGGCCCTAAGTGTATTCTACAGAATACATACAGTAGCTGTTTTGCACTAAAATACTGGGAAACATTACTCTTTTGTCGCTAATTACTATGCTTCATTCGTACACCTTTATTTTTAATGGTGCAAGAATTTATGTGTGTTTATCTATCCTAGAAGAATTCCCTCATTTTTATAAATAAGTCGAGTTAATTTTCTTATTAGTACTTAGAATTTCATAATATTTGAAATGCATCATGAAAGATATAAACAATATAAATGGTTATTTTGTGTATAGGGTCTGACCGCAGTGGATATTACAGATGACTCTAGCATGATTGTAGGAGGCTTTGCTGACTCTACTGTCAGAGTGTGGTCCTTGACTCCAAAAAAGCTACGTAGTGTGAAAACAGCAGCAGGTAATTAAGACAGTAGCACTTAAGATGAGCATGCATTATTTGTGACAGCTGTGTTTTGTGTGAACGGAGAAAGATGTCTGTGGCAGGACAGCTGTCTTCAGCCATTAGATGCTTTCACTTTGAAGAAACAATATGTGCACAGATCATAGAATCATAGAATGGTTTGGGTTGGAAGGGACCTTAAAGATCATTGAGTTCCAGCCCCCATGCCATGGGCATGGACACCCTGCACTAGCCCAGGTTGCTAAAAGCCTCATCCAGCCTGGCCTTGAACACATCCAGGGATGGGGCATCCACAGCTCCTCTGGACAGTCTGTTCCAGTGCCTCACCACCCTCGCAGTAAAGAATTTATTCCTAATATCTAATCTAAATCTACCTTCTCTGAGCTTAAAACTGTTACCTCTTGTCCTGTCACTCCCTGATAAAGAGTCCCTCCCATCTCTCCTGTAGCCCCCTTCAGGTACTGGAAGGCTGCTATAAGGTCTTCCTGGAGCCGCCTTTTCTCCAGGCTGAACAACCCCAACTCTCTCAGCCTGTCCTTATATGGGAGGTGCTCCAGCCTCTGATCATCTTTCTCGCCCTCCTCTGGACTTGCCCCAACAGGTCCAAGTCCTTCTTATGTTAGGGGCCCCAAAGCTGAACTCATGATAGTTATTATGCTATATGAACTTTGAAATATTGCAGACCTCAGTCTCATTGACAAAGAATCGGATGATGTCTTGGAGAGGATAATGGATGAGAAAACAGCAAGTGAGTTGAAGATTTTATATGGTCACAGTGGACCTGTCTATGGCACCAGCTTCAGTCCTGACAGGTAAAATAAATTTACAAGCTAACTAGTTTGCTAGTCTTGAGTTTTAATTGTGTGCTACTGAATGCAAACACGTTCTTAATTCTGCTTTTTCCAGAAGGGTAAAGCCATACTTGTTTATGCATCTTATAAGAAACTGTATGCAGTGTAAGTGCTCATTATGCTCAGGGTGTTGGGCACTGTCAGCTATTACTGAAATCAGCTTGAACTGAGGATGCCAGCATCTTTTTTGAAGTTCAGGGCTTAGATGGCAAAATAGAAAATAGACCATCTTTTTTTTTTGCAAACTGTAGTTTAAGCTGGGTGTTAACTAACTGAATTCTAGAGATGAAAAATACTGCAGCATTGATTTAACTTAGAGTATTGCAAAACATAAAAGCAGACTGAGTAGCATATTGTTGCACTTCTTCAAGTTTCTCATATTCTGTTAAGGCTTTCTTTTCAAAATGTATGGAATAGTATCTTTTGTAAGATATTTCAAACCATTATGTAATTGCGAGTCTGGACAGTAGAAAGGAGGTTTAAATGTCTCAAGTTTTACTTTTGCATATGTCTAGTCAGGAAACAACCATCACAAAAACAGCTGAGAAGGAAACTTTGTATGTAACATGAATATAGAGTCTATAACTATGAATTGAGAATATGTATGTGATATGAATTCTCTTTCAGGGATTCCTGAAATTTTGTTTAGAGTTATCATAAAAGTTTTTTTTTTTAAAGTAATGTAATACAGCAGTTTACTAGTAATTTTTTCATATAACAGGAATTCCTGAGTAATGACCAGCTCTGTGTTTTTTTTCCTTAATATTGCTGTGTCATCAGAATTAGTAATCAGCATCCAAATGTCTCTCTTTTTTGTGTACAGGCCTAGGACTGGATTCTGCTTGAATTGGTTATTGTTGCTTACCCTACCAAAATACTGATTTATGTGTGACAGGCTGAACAAATGCTGTTCAGTGGACAGTTTTTCTTATCATAGACACCTCACAGTGTTTATACAATGGTTATACTGTCTGTGTGTAAGTTTGATATGTAACATGCTATACTCTCTCCTGTGACAGGAACTATCTGTTGTCCTGTTCTGAGGATGGCACTGTCAGATTGTGGAGTCTCCAAACATTCACATGTTTAGTGGGATATAAAGGACATAACTATCCAGTATGGGATACACAGTTCTCTCCTTATGGTTATTACTTTGTGTCAGGGGGACACGACAGAGTGGCTCGGTAAGAAGCTGGATGGATTTTTTACTTGTCTGGGTCAGTTTGTGGTAGTTTAACCCTGAAAGTGATGAGCTGATATACTCTAGCCTACCATACTACTGTAAATAAATTTTATTTCATGTCAATTAAAATACTGACAAAATCTTTTAATGTAGATGTAGGGGTTTTTTTTCTTTTCAACACACATCAGATTATCTGATGACTAAAGAGATGGTGTCCTCTTATGTGACCATCTGATTATAAATATTATCTTTCAGTTGTTTAACATCTTGACAGAATGTTTATTTTTCCCTCCTGAGAAGTATAATTTTACAAAACAGATCCTGCTAATTCACTACACTGACCAGTAAGAAACCACTGCATAATTACTTCCTTTTATTCCTCATTGTGCAACAGATACTGAACTTCATTAGGGTTCTTTTTATTAATAAAGCTTTTATTTTCAGTCTGTGGGCAACAGATCACTATCAGCCTTTACGGATATTTGCTGGCCATCTTGCTGATGTGACGTGTACCCGGTTTCATCCAAACTCTAACTATATTGCCACGGGCTCGGCAGACAGGACTGTACGGCTCTGGGATGTTTTGAATGGGAATTGCGTAAGAATATTTACTGGACATAAGGTAAAGGCCTGTCACTCACAGTGTGAAAGTGGTTTTATTTCTGTGATGAGATTCTGAAGAATAGTGTTCAGAATGACTGACTGAATGTGGGTAGACTTAATTAACTTGTTTGTCCCCCTCTCCCCCCAAATGTCTGTTTTAGGGACCAATTCATTCATTGGCATTTTCTCCTAATGGACGATTCTTGGCTACTGGAGCAACAGATGGAAGAGTTCTGCTGTGGGATATTGGACATGGTTTGATGGTTGGAGAATTGAAAGGGCACACTGACACTGTCTATGCGCTCAGATTCAGTAGAGACGGAGAGATTTTAGCATCAGGTAAAATTCACAGTGAAGTTTCTGTTGTTTTCCGTAAGTCTGAAGAGGAATGACACAATCTACTTTGCAGAAGACAAAGTAGAATCACTTGTTTAGCAAAAACAGCAACTTAAAACTGCTGGTACAAGGCGAGTACTGCACTGGACTGTGAAGTATGACCCCTCACTGTTCCAAGTATGGAAGGAAAGGTGTTATGCAGTTAGACGATAGTGAAGTTTGGGATCTGTGTACAGTGTTGAGGGTGGAATCTGAAGTTAGAATAGCTGTAGGGCAGACAAGAAGTGTCCGGAGTAGAGAGGCACAGGATACTGGCGACGGAGTGCAACATGCAGAAGGATAAAGAAGAAGATTGATGATAGATTTTGTATATAGAAATGTGCATGCAGTTTTAACAATCAGGTTTATGAGCAGCAGAACTTGTGAAGCCCGCTTGTTTTTCCTGCCTGTACATGTCAATTCTCTGGTGTCAAATATAGCAGAGCTTCTTTACCAGTTTTCCCTTCACAGAGGCACAAAGTTTTGTCTTTCCACGGTTAGTACACTGTTTTCTTAAAATTAAATAATAAAATTATCCAACAAGTTAAAGTTACTGACAGAAGAAATTGACAGATGCTGTACTTGCATCAGGGTAATTTCCTCATGAAACCAGGCTAGGAATATTCTATATTTATTTAGTAGTATGTTCCTAAATGCAGTGCAGTGACAATCCTCAGTGAGCCACTGCTGGAGGAGTGAAAGCGAACAGGCAGGGTACAGGTTTGATCCAGCCTGCAGGGTGGTTACTTCCATTTATCTGTTAATGCTCCAGTGAAAGCACATTCCACTGGGCATGGAAAATTCTGCTCTCTTCTCTGTATCAAACAAAGAAACGGTTATTATATGGCTAAGCATCATAAACATTTCCTGAAATTGGCATCTAGTCCACAGGATGGTCCTGCTGTTTCAGTGGTAGGTGACACAATCCAAACCCAAGAGGGAGTAGTTCTTTGTGCTTTATCCCCAGGGCATTCAGGTTAGATTACAGGAAAGAGGAAATTGTGGTAGCTTTCATGTGGGCATTCAGTATGTTAGAGGCTTGTTAAAAGTCTGTTTCCTTGCAGGATGAGGGCATAAGTCTACAGTTATGAGCAAACCTGCTTTTTTGAGCTTTAATTTCTGTTAACTTGCTCCCCAGTAACTTTTCTGTATACCTTTTTATTAATAAAAGAAAACACTTTAAACTGTTCTTTTCTCTTTTTAGGTTCAATGGATAACACAGTTCGTCTGTGGGATGCTGTGAAAGCATTTGAAGATTTAGAAACTGATGACTTTACTACAGCCACTGGACATATAAATTTGCCTGAAAATTCACAGGACTTGCTACTAGGTACATACATGACCAAATCAACCCCAGTTATACACCTGCATTTTACACGCAGAAACTTGCTTCTGGCTGCAGGAGCCTACAGTTCACAGTGAATTGGGAAGGTGGAAGACTGTGCCAAGTCATTGCAGTAGTGACCTCAGGATACAAGACAAGGAGGAATGTCTTGTAGAGGTGGACCTAGTCTATTGCAGGAAAAACAAAACTATGTAAACTAATGCAAGCAGCATTAGTTCTCTCAGTTCTGCTATTGCGTATTTATCCACAGTTTGAAAATGCTGGAGATTGACAAGACATCATGGCCGTGAGAGAAGGAATTGTTCATGGTGCTTTTCATAAAAATTATATATATATGTATATGAAAATGGCTGTCTCCTCTCAAAGATGGTATTGAGCTCTGACAAAACTTGTGGAAAGTTAACAGCCTTGATATGTGTTCTCAAATTATTTTTTTGAAGCACTTAATTTATCATTAGCGAATGTTTAATTCAGTCTCAAAACACAAGCAAAAAGTGTTCAGTTTCAGCCAAGAAGAATGTAGCTTAATTCACTGTAGCCTGTCGGGGCAACAGGCACGGTGGGAGTATCATAGCAACAAACAGGGCATTGAAAGAGTAGGTCCAAGAGGCAGAGGCTTGTGGGGAAGTGCCACTGTTACATGTACAGGTTTTATGCATCCAAGTACTAAATAAGTCCTGAAAAGATTTCAAACTTCTGAAAAATCAGAAAACTGATCAGTTTGTTTTTGAAAGGGCAGCTTGTCTGCTGAAGTGACAGTTTCCACTTACAAAAACATTGTACCCCACTAAGTCCTCCTGGAGAAGCAATAAAGCTCAGTGCTTTCTTTCTAAGGCAGAGTAAACATGCAAAACACTGAGAAATATAACTTCATTCTGGGTCTGTGGACAGAAGACACCACCACCAAAGGACAGGCCCGGTTTGGTGTGGTTTTGCTTTGTGTTTGGGTTTTTGGTTTTTTTTTTTTAATCTCTTACAAGATGTATACAGGAAAACCTGTTTTGTGTTCCTCATTACTTTCCAGTAAGGGCTTGGACACTGGAACAATCTGCTGGCTAGCTAGTGAAAATAAAACCAAGACTTTTCTAAGGTAAAGTAAATGGAGAACTATCTCCCCTCTCATCCCTTCTCTGACTCCACATCTTGGAGTAAAGGTATATTACAGACATTATACATCAAAATAAAGGGTGGAAAATTCATTAGGGAGCTCACCTGGAAATCTTCTTTAAATAAAAAAGGTTATAACTAAGTTATTATGGGTTATTTTTTTTGATGTCACGGTACCTCAACTAAAGTCCCTAGCTCTCAATATGACCAGTTGGATTTAAGTACAATTATGGTGAATCTAACCAGTTACCTAAAACAAAGCTGCTTTGACAGCTTAAAGAAAACACTGCCACAATCTGCCTTTGTATTTTGTACAGTTTTATACTTTTGATATGATAATAAATACTAAAACCACAGAGTTTGTGTCTATATATATTGTCTTCCCTTGATGGCTTCAACGCAAGCAAGAGCAGTGCTTGTAAGGTGAGCACTCTGCTAAGAGAAACAAAGTAATTCAGAAATGGTTACGTGGATTTCATGTACATCTCATTCTAAGGGTCGGTGATGGGTTCTAGCTAATTAGATCTACTACACTGTTACAACAACCACTATTCCATCATGAAAATTGTAGACAGCAGAGGCTGTTTGTACAACCAAACTCACAGGAGAAGACAACTACTAGGTTTATTCAGGAGGCCCAGCATATACAAATGGCTTTATGATACATGAACTAGAAGGCAGGGGCACAAAAACCCTGTAATTTATCCCTCCTTTTTTTTTCAGCAACCCTGCCTCCCTCCTGCTGCCCTCAGTTTGGGAAGTGTATTTGCCTGCTTTAGCATCAGAAGGCTCAGGTTCAATCCATGCTTCTGGCACCCTTCCAAGAAGCACCATGCATAACCACATTCACAGTTCAGCACTAATGAGACATCTAAAGAAGGTACAGAGTTTTAATTGAGATACTGAAAGACACAGTGGAGAATATGATTGACAAGTTTTAGTATTGAGCAGGGAGGGGGCTGCACATACCCAATTGTGGTAGGAACACCTCATTTATTAAGAGGCTATGTCCAAGAAAAATAAGCACTGAACTACTTAGGTCACTGCTTATGAATATGCAGAGTTATAAGAGCTTAATATCAGCAGAGCAAGCGATTTTCTTTCTGGCAGTTACCTCTGCAAGGAAGGCCAGTAATAGAAAAAGCTCAAATACCATAATCTGATCAGTCTATTTTGGGAGGTTTTCCATGAAAACCACACAGGTTCTGTGCAAAATACAATTGAGACAAGTTGTAATCTGCATTGTATTAATAATAGTGAAGAAGTCAATGTTTCCATGTAAGCTACTAGCTTGGAATGCAAAAAATGGGAGCAACCAGGTAACCACAAACCATGTAGGCTTACTGGTAGCCACTATGACGTGGAAGTTTGGAGATGCTTTCATCAGCTGTAAACTCTGTGCCAGTATTATGGTCATGCTGCTGAGGTCTTTCCTAGGTTACTACCAGGTGCTCAGAACACTTTAGGATGTGCTATAACAGCAGAAGAGTTTAATTAAGATAAAATAGCTGATTCCTGTCCTTACTATCTCCACTACAAATAACTATTTTTGACAGAGGGGAGAAAAAGCAGAGTGCCACGTTTATGCTTTTTTGCACCATTTCATAATACATAAGTATTCATAAAACATTCATAAAACAAGTAATTGTTTATATTTTATTAGCCACAACAGATCATCAGCTTGCATTACATTGACACAGACTGAAGGTTCAGGCATGCCAGCCACCTGCCAAGAGAAGAGAGATCAAATGTAGCAAGTCTTGCACAGTGGTACTAGTAACTGAGCATTCCCCTTCCCCAAGCTCAAACAATTTCAGTTATGAGTAGGCACACTTCAGCACACCCAGGAAGAAATTACTGATGTCCCTTTAACATAAAACAATGATGCTCAAGCTTATTGTTTTCTACCCCTTTTTGCAGACTGTGAGGACACACCATAGGTTTTTTCAAAGTGCCACTTCAATGGCAATTTTGTATTTGAAAGGACTTGAATTTTGTATCGCTTGGTTGTTGCTGTACAAGAACAAGTGCAATCACTTCTATACAGGCCTTGCATAGGCTGGTGTGCAATATATACAGTTCCATTATGTGGTGCTCCTTTACTCTGTTCAAAGGAAAGTTTTGACAGACTGCATTAACCTCTGCTTGGAATTCTCTAATATAACTAAGTCCTCAAGTACTACTTTATTATTTCAATACCCTACAAAGCAACAGTTACAGGGCAGACCAGGGGCACCTAATCATTGCAGGCAAAGCCTGATACACTTAGCTGCAACATCCTTCCATTCCTCCTTCCCTGCTTACTCTTCCTCCCTGCATGCTGTGCTTAGTCCCATTTACCATGTCAGAAGAAAAGAACACTGGTGTCCCATACTTTCTGCATCCCCCTTTAACAAGCTACTTCATTCAGAATGCCCCCAAATAAGTTGATACTATAGTTCAGTTGAGGTTTCAAATGATAAATACAAAGTTCACATGCCTGTGTTTCTCTCTCTATATATATTGTATTATAAGCAACTTGTCCTTTGTCACTCTTTCTTCCTGGGCTGGCATTGAATCATTTTGGTCCTGGGAGAACACCAGCCACTTACCATTTACTTGTCTGCCACAGCAGGGGTTTTCTTTTTAGGTCTAAGCTTGAAGTACAAGATGATCATCGCAACACTTGCATATGTTGCTATCACATACTGTAAAACATAAAAGTTAAGTTTAGTTTCAGTCTAAAACCCAAAAGCCACCATTATAATAGACTACAAAATTTAATATGCATTAATATACATACATTCCTTCTGCCTGTGATGGTATAGGAGTTGAAGTACTTCTGAAATCCAGTGAACTGGTGTTGAGTTCCCGAGTCATGGCCAGCCATGGTTGCTTGCCCTAACAAGCAATACAGGACAATTAATGAATTTAAAATCAGTTGGATGGGATCAACAGAAAAATCAAACTAATCTCTCCACTGAACTTAATACTTCTACTGTCAGACACTAAATCTGCTTTCAGGACATTCAACAGACAGTGGATATATATAAGGAGCAGGCACATTCAAAGCACTGTATCTTAAGGTACAAAACAGGTGACACAAGAGCAGAAAAGGAAATGAGGGGTTCTGAAGGGAAGAACATTTATGATTTTCAGAGTTCATTCAACAGAGTTCAAACATGGAAAAAAAAAAGTCAGTATGATGATGATGAAAGGGAAAATTCCTCAAAGCACTTACAAAGAAGAGACCTGTCAGTCTTGCCTACACAACCATTCAACACAGGCAAATTTCTACCAATTGTTTAGGAATCTACAATACCTAATTAAGACAGATATCACTAGTTCAGCTAAGAAACAGCTTCAATCACATACCCAAAAACTGGGTGACAAGATTCAGATTAGATCACTCCTCCATTTTGTGATTCAAAATGCTGCTTTACAACTTTTAGACCATATTAGAGTGCAAGGGTTGTTAATAAGAACTGCCCCACTCTCAGTTGCACGTTTCCATTATATCTTACTTGTCCACCCTGGTATTCACATATAATTTTTCTTCTAGTTAGTTTTCAGCTAGATCAGCAAGTTATTTGACCCAGCTACAAAGCCTCAGAAGTGCTTTCACAGGAACAACAAAAACACTAATTACATAAAGGGACACTTCTGTATTTTGTCTGTGTCTGGACCAAAGTTCCACATCTACTGTAAGAAGATCATTGGCACAAAAGCCTGGCCTGGCTATAGCAGCATACTTGCAGATTCACTGGGTGGTTCAGGTTGGCACCTCTGGAGGTCACACAATCCAACTACAAACTGCTCAAAGTAGGGGAAGCTCCAGCACGACACTCAGGAACATGCCTAGTCAGGTTTTTAATATCTTCAGAGACAGACACTCCACAACTGCTCTGGGGAACCTGTTCCAGTGTTTGACCACCCTTATAATAAAAAGGGTTTTCTTTTTAAGGTTGAAAGATATATTTTTCTCAAGTTTAAGGGAGTTTTATGTTTAGGACAAACACTTGTTCTTTATCTTGCAACTCACTTCAGAAGAAGCATGGGCGCTGAATGGTCACCTACCAAACCAGGCAGATGCTGTAGCCACCAGTACCCCAGAAGAAACATACAAGACACTGCTACAGCAGGTGCTATGTTCACTGACACAGCCCTTATACCAACCCAATCCTGTAATGTATCTCCGGCACATAATCAGGTAAGAGTGACTGTAACTGGATTGACTATGTAGTATCTAAAAATCTTAACGAAATAAAACCCCTAAACGCTTGCTGTACACGACTTGGAAAGCCAAGGTCCTCTTTTCTTATGCCTGACCCTTGCAAAAGCCTGGAGAAGAGTCACCGCATCCTCCCGAGGAGGGCTGAGAGCCCAGACACCCCAGCACCGGGTTTCTTTTCGGAAGGGCCCGGTGTCCTTGCCAAGCGCGGCCCAGCCCGCCAGCTG